GCGTGGTAGGCCTTGAAATAGCTTTGGCATTGGGAGTGAAAAAGTTAAGGATATTCGGAGATTCTTCTTTGATTATCAATCAGATATCTAAAAGGTGGAAAGTAAGGAGCGAAAGTCTAGCCCCTTACCAAACCTATCTGGAAACTCTTACCGATCAGTTAGAGAAGGTAGAATACACATATCTACCTAGGGAAGAAAAGCAATTTGCTGATGCCCGGGCAAGATTAGCCTCAATGGTTAGGATTCCCACGGAAATCGAGCAAATGCCTCTAACTATAGAAAAAAGGCACAAACCAGCATACGTCCAGGCTATAGAAGACGATGAAGTAGTCCAAGACGAAGAACAAGAAGAAGAAGAAGAACTGTGGTACACGGACATACTCAATTATGTCACCAAAGGAAAATACCCTCCTCATGCTGACAAAAGAGCAAAACGAGCATTAAGAGTTTTGGCTTCCCAATATGTACTCATAGACAACGAGCTACATAAAAGGGTACCTAAGGGTCGAGGCCTCTTATGTGTAGGAAAAAAGGATGCAGAAAGAGCAATGAGGATAGTCCACGAAGGAATCTGTGGCACTCATATAAATGGTAAAATGTTAGTCCAGAAAATAATGCGAGAAGGATATTATTGGACTACAATGAATAGGGATTGCCATCAATATATAAAAAGATGCCCTAAATGCCAAATTTATGCCAATTTACAACATGTTCCTCCATCTTTGCTCTACACCTACACATCGCCATGGCCATTCTCTACATGGGGAATTGACATCATTGGCAAAATCACTCCCCCAGGAAAAGGAGGCCACGAATACATCCTAGTAGCAATCGATTACTTCACAAAGTGGGTCGAAGCGCAATCATACGACATGTAGCACTCTTTATTGAGAGAAATATAATTTTTCGATACGGAGTCCTACATGAAATGATAAGTGACAATGGAACTCACATTCAAGCCGAATGTGAAGAACTGCTAAAAAAATACGGCATTCAACATCATCATTTTTCCCCTTATAGACCTCAAGCAAATGGAGTAGTCGAGGCAGCTAGTAAAAACCTAAAGACTATCATCGAAAAAATGACGGAAAATTATAAGGATTGGCTTGACAAACTTCACTTCGCATTGTGGGGTTACCGCACGTCAATCCGTACATTAACAGGAAATACGCCATTTTCCTTGGTATATGGAATGGATGCCGTACAACCTGTCGAACTAGAAATACCATCTCTACGCATTGCATTAGAGAGTAAACTCGATGAAGTTGAATGGACTAGGGCAAGATATGAAGAATTGATTCTACTCGACGAGAAACGACTAGAAGCCCTACATCACACTCAGTGTTACCAGACTCGTATGGCTAGGCATTTTAATAAGAAGGTCAAGACAAGGAATATCAAAGTAGGAGACTTGGTGTTAAAAGCACTAAGGAAAAATGTTTTAGATCCAAGGGGTAAATTTAGACCTAATTGGTCTGGACCCTACATTGTCAAAACAATCTTGTCAGGAAGTGCAGCAAAACTAACTGATTTGGATGGCAATGAATTCTCGAACATGACAAATCTTGACCAACTTAAGGAATACTACCCATAATTACTTAAGTTGAATACTCAAGAGAGCAACGTTCGGCCTGATTCATTAAGAAAGGATACGTAGGCAACCCTTTACGCGTGCGGCCACTTTATCTTTCGATATCTCCGTGTTTCAGAATTAATTAAAAATTCAACATAAGATCGGCGAATTATCGGCGTCACAGAGGAGAGCCTGGTGCCAGCCAGCAACCATCAGCGCCAGCTGATGAAATTGGCGCCTAGCGCCAGACTGCACTGGCAGGCGCCAATCGCAAATAAGTGGCGCCAATTTCAAAATAAATTTTGGGAAAATCTTGGTGTTTTTCGTAAAAATTTTTACTTCCGTACTCGAAGAATTTATGGATAAATCAATTTTTTCAGTTTTCATTGCTTTAATAAAATAAATTTAAAGTAAATAATTTAATTAAAAGCTGAAATTTCATTAATAAAATAAAATTACATTATTGATGGAATTTAAATAAAGCTGAAATAAATTAACTTTAAATGAAAAATAAACTAAGTCTAATAAATTGAAAATTAAGCAATGCTCCTAATCTTTCTTTTCTTTTCTAGCCCTTTTCCAATTTTTGTCTGCTTCCTCCTCCTCATCCATAACTTTAGCTAGTAGGCATCCTTTACAGGACCTACATTCAATATTAGAATAGATAGTCTCCCCTTCAGCTAATACTCAATGTTTCTTTTCCACCCAAGTCTGTTTATCTGTGGTGTCAGCTTTCCTTTTCCCTTTATCTTTTGTGACACCTTTCTTCCTAGGCATTGTAGGTGTTTTGAATTCAATTCTTGCACCTAAGCGTTCCTTGGCAGGAATTACCCTGTCACCTAGACGACTCTTCACATCAGTTTTACCCTGATCTTTCTTCGAATCCTTCGAAGGCTTCTTCAGCAACCACTTCTTCACATCGTATGGCAAAGAAAGAGGAACCTTTTGGGTAACCACTTCCCATAAAGGTCTAGCACTCCAGTAAGCATCAAATCTGTCCACTTCTTGAGAAACAGGGTACTCATAGGGAGGACAAAGGTCCCCGGAAGGAATATTCTGAAGCAAGTCGTATTGTCTTTTTACCCTGCAGGGGTAATAATAAAAGCCGGCAGAAAGGTTGCTTGTTGACACCAACCATCCTTTCTATTTTCCACCATGGGACGACCCACTTGATAGCAAAATTGCGAGATTCGAAGACCTTTCTCCACCCATGGCGCCCAATTTTAGGAAAGCGTTTCTTCCTTCTCACGAAGCAATTGGGAGTATACTTCTCAATATCGTCCGGAGGGCTAATTAATTCTAGCCTTTCCATTAGCCACATCTGTAAAAAATTGCAATGCAAATAAATTATTATTACAATACAAAAATATATTTTTTGATTTCTTTAATTAAAAATATTATTTTTCTACCTGTAATAAAATTGGAGAACCGCGAAAAGGTGCTTTTGGGTCCCTTTTTAATTCATCTAGACTAATCATAGTCTCTCCAACTATCAATGGCATTGGATTTCTCCCTGATTCAATTTGTCCTAAAACAGTGGTTATAATTGATTGACCTTCATTATTTTGCCACTACTAAGAAAAAATTGATTAAACATGCAAAATAAGAACGCCCTTCTTCTATATATATGAAATGATTCAGAAAGATGTTTATCAAAATAATGGCGTGCAAATTCTTTCAAATTCACTATGTTGCCATCTACTATTTTTGATAAATCTCTTTCTTTTAAATTAAAGAAGCGCTCAAAATCCTTATAATAATACGCATTTACTCTAGGGATTACTATGAGATCTATTGCAGGGAAGCCTAAAATAGCACCAAATTCCTCTGGCAAAGGGCTAATCTCATCATACCCTATTCTAAAGCAATGAGTGTCAACATTCCAAAATTCTAGAGCGGTATGTATGAAATCTAAGTCAAGATCTACCCCTTTGATGCCATAAATTCCCCCCAAGTGGAACAAATCTAATTATTTTCTCTCTCTAGCATTAAGATATCGACACCATTCATGAGTGTATTGGGTGAAAGTTTTGGTGGCTAAAGACATGATTATATTTTTTTTCTAAGGCAAAGAATTATTTTTGCTAGAATTATGAGAAGAATCGGCTGGGCAGGGGGCTATTTATACGCAAATTGCGAGAAGTTTTAATCAGAATGAAATACGGAATCAGCGTCAATTGGTGTCAAAACCACGTAATTGGCGCCAGCCGCCAGCGCTTGGCGCCAGCTGGCGCCAAGTTGCCACGTCAGACGCACCTGCTTAAATCGCGTTTTTATATTAAACTCTAGTCGGCTTATTACTTTACGGCTCCGTTTACATTTTCTAAACATCTTTTTTATCCTTTTTTTAAGTTAATTAATATAGCTATTATATTAATTATATTATTCTCTTTTTGGATTTATTTTCCAAATTTTTATACACAAGCTTTTAGTTGATTTTTCCTTTTTTATTTTTTCTTTTGGGGGAGAGAGTCGGATACCCTCGACAACAATAAAAATGACGGAATTTTTGCGCAAAATTGTTTGTTACACTTCTCTTGCACACACAAACATACACATAATAATAGCAAATAAATAAACTCAAAATAGCATAAATATACAAAATGTGTCTAAAAATAGTGAGTCTAAGACAAAGTTCTATGAAAAGTCAAAATAAAATATACACAGGAACAAACTACGGCGCCGGAGGACGTATACCCATCATATCGTAAAATTGCGCCGTACGAGGAGTCACCTCTCCACCAGCTCCAGCTCCAGCTCCAGTCTCTACAGGAGGAGGAAAACTCAATGTAGGACCACTCCACCCAGGATCAACCTGAGGCCGAGGCTGCGGAGGCTGCTGCGATGACGAGCCTACCTCGTACATCCCACAACCTCTGAAAGCCGAGGTAGCCTCTCCTACCGATGCAGCATGAGCACCCACAGAGGAAGATCCCGAGCCCTCTGCAACGTCAGCACGAGCAGCCTCAGAGCGACCACCTCTACCCCCTGACGAAGTACGACGACGTCTCGAGCTAAACCTCGCCGGATCCCTCCGCACCTTGGGTCTCGTGCGGGTGTGAGAAGCAATAGGTTGGCCCTGTAAAAAGAATGAAATCAGAAATAAGGCAAAATCGAAGCAGTAATGCAAAATATATGTAAAGAAAGACTACCTCTCGAATGACGTCCCGACGGCAGGTGGCTGCATTCCTCATCCGGACGAGCTGGCTCCAGAAGGCATCTATACATCGTGCCATCGCCGAAACCACCTCGCGCGAAAACTGTCAGATAAATAAGTCAGTAAATATGCATAATATATGGACAAAAATTGCAAATAAATCAAGCTTACTCGAGTCTGGTGGCGAGGAATCGACCGCTCTACGAAGCGCTCACCCTCGGGAGCCGGAGGAATCATCTCCTCGATCGGCCCATATGTCCCGTGGTAATGGATGGACATACGGGGTGGCACGAACTTAGCAGCACCGTTCTGATAAAGCAAAAAAGGTCAGTAAAACATTACTTGGGGGCTACTTCCTGGAAAGTAAAAGCTGAAAAATCTTACCCTCACATCCTCAGCCGGTACGGGGGCTGGAGCTAACAACGGCAATAGCTTCTCAGCAAAGCACTGCCAGGGATCGCGTAGGACCGCCAAGGGGTACCAGCTCCCTCAGACATGCTCAATAATCGCGCGTCGTCGAACATATGACGCGGTGGAGCAGCAGGAACGACGAAGATATCAGAAGAATGTTGTCTAGCAACCCTCTCTCCTAAGTACGCGATTGCTCCATAAGTCCCCAGGAAATAGCGACGCTCAACAGAATACTGTGCGGCTAACCCAGGGACTGTCCAGCCGCCCCACGGCCGGTACACCACCTCAGGCCCCTACAAAGAACATCAATCAGGCGAGAGTATACCTAAAGCATCGCGAAAGAGAAAATAAATAATAAGAAGTCGTACCTCGATGATCCAGTTCCGGACATGTGTGGTAGACATATCCACATGACGGCCGCCCCAAGAGGCGCTCACTGGAAATTCGCGCGGTGATGGTCTCGCCGGCGCAACAGAGGGGAAGTACTCGTAAAACCAGATCTACAAGAAATAAAAAAGTGTGAGTAAATGCTAGCTAATATGTAGAGCTAAACTTTATAGGGAATAATGTTTACCTCTACGACCTTCCAAAAGGCAGACAAAGCAACATTCGTCCCAAAGGACCGGTGTCGACACGAGTCCCTCAGTGCACGAACAAAGTCAGCGTAGGCCAAGCTGGCCCAGTCATAAGTCCCGATCCGGTGAAGATCACGGACAACAAGAAGGTAATAAAGCAACGACTTACTACTCTTTTTAGGAGAGAACGTCCCTGACAACAACATTAGCGCAAAGATGCGCACCCGCTGCTCTCGGGTGGTCGCATCGTCATCAAAAGCCACTGCCGGCGTCGAGCGGCGAATTCCCCTAGCACTAAACTGAGTCGTCTCGACCTCAGCTCGAGCCCGAATAGCGATCGACCCCAACAGCTCCTCGACCTCCGCAGAAAAGACGTCGATTCCACTGTCGAACGACAGTGGCACAGAGTTGAACTCCAGTCCTGTAATGAGACTGAAGTCCGTAGGGGTGACCATCATCTCGCCCAAGGGGAAATGGAAAGTGTTGGTGGTGTCCCAGAAGAACTCCACCAAAACGCGCACTACATGATGACCCCCGCTGGAGGCAACCATAGCCTTGGAGGTCTCAAACAGGGTAGCCAGTCTGCAAGACTCCCATAGGTTTCTCGTATCTCGACCCCTGGCGATGTACATCTTGTACAAATCGCCCTAACCATCACAGCCGGAACCGTGATAGCGCGTCCTCCTGACCGTGATGCCCCGTCTCACCCTCTCGGAAATGTGGTGGACGGGGGCGAAGAACAGGATCCGCTCATCCCACTCGGGAAGTCGACCAAGCGAAATAGAAGGTGTGACGTCATCCTCTACGGGCTCATGCTCCCGTCGGGTATTTCGGGACCGTGAACCCGAGCTCGCTGCCTAGCCATACTACATTGTGCAAAATCATCATAAATTAAGGTTCTATAGTATCTAAGGTTCGCCTAGCCGCATGATACTATGTTCGCAAAAAAACAGAGTACGTAGTACTAAAACAGAGCACAAATTCAAATTGAGCATAACGGCATTTTTCAAGCAATCACACAATTTCTTGCAACACTATAGTGATTATTGTAACAAATTGGACAAGAATTGCTAGCAAAAACATCAAGAACAAGTCACATTGTTCTTCACGACCTTAGGAGGTCCAACAATGGCAAATTGCTAATTTTTTCACCAAATTGAGTCAAACAAGTCTCAAATTACTCCCAAGGCAATATATAAACATAATCAAGCAATTTCATGGCATAAAACTTGACAAACAAAGCAAATTAAGCATTATAAATTTTGAATTTACATGAAATTCGTGAATAAACATGCCAAAAATTCATGAAAACTGATGTGAGTTTGAAGTAAACTTACATAGATCGGGAAAATAGATGAAAAGAGCTTTAATTTGCAACGAATTTGAGTGAATTCGGTTGAGAAACGAGCAAGAACCGAGCAATTAAAGCTTTCGGGTTTTTTCGAGCAATTTCGCAACGAGCAAGCAGCAAAATGAAGAAGAAAGGGGTATTTAAGGAAATCCCCGTGCTAGCGCCAAGCCCTAAGCATTGGCGTCAAAAAATTAGGCTTGGCGCCTGGCGCCAATCTCAGCGCCTGGCGCTAAGGCTAATTGTCTGGCGCTGATAGCTTTTCAGCGACGCCAGAACACCCAGCCACTTGGTGAGGTTGTTCTACCTTTCTGCAACATAATTTGTGGGTTCCTTGGTACGCCAGTTAGCCCCTCTAAGCAATTTGACATGATTTAGTAATCGGCTTGATTACATAAAGTGATCGACCTGATGAAAGATCGTCTCACTTAGCTTAAAGCGCCTAAGCATTGGCTCATTAACAAAAAGCATCGACATATAGGTTCAAAAGCAAAGGGCACCGACATAATGGTTCATTCACAAAAGGCACCGATATACAGGTTCAAAGCAGCAGAAGCACCGACGTACAGGCATAGCGGAAGCAAAGTTCAGGCGAACTTTTAAAGATCGACATGCGTGGGTCTTCGGTAATTTCCTTTGGAAAATTATCGCATCAAATGAGGATGACTTCAAGTGAGGATATCTTTGACGGCATTCCCTAGCTTGCGGAGAGTTGTCACAATCAACTAGAGGTAATTTCAGGTGAATTTGTCTGCGATCATGTTCCCTTAGGCATGGAAGATGGTCATAATGCGGATGGAGATTATTTCAAGAGAAATAATCTTCGATAGTATTCCCTCGGACGTGGAATATTATCAATGCGGATGGAGATTATTTCAAGAGAAATAATCTTCGATAGTATTCCCTTGGACGTGGAATATTATCAATGCGGGTGAGGATTGTTTCAAGAGAAATAATCTTCGATAGTATTCCCTTGGACGTGGAATATTATTAATGCGGGTGAGGATTGTTTCGAGAGAAATAATCTTTGATGGTATTCCCTTGGACGTGGAATATTATCATAGCGGAGGAGGATCGTTTCAGGCGAAGCAATCTTCTATATTTGGAAGCAGTTACGGGCGTAGCGGTTTTCAAGCGGGATGACATTCTCTAGCTTGCAGGAGGTCATCAAAACAATCGGTTACTTTCAGAGACGTGTGCTCGACGGTGCAAGATACGCGTTTCTTAACTATTTTATCTGTTTAACTAACGCTAGTTTGCAGGTATCGGCGTTACAAGATTGATTTAGGATCGCAGAACGTTCTGAATCATTCTCCGTCCCTATCGCTACTTTGACTTTTGTTTTCGAAACTTGCGTTTCTCCAAAATCAGTCAAAGTGGGGGCTTCTGTAGACACCCATTTGTGTCTCCCCAAAACCAAACCCGGTGATGAGTACCTTTTGCGTCGAATCATAATTGAATGAAGCGAAAGTGTGGAAAGTCTAGTGTTGCGGATAGTTTTAATTTCTTCTCTTCTCTCTGTTTTGAAAACTTATTTTAAGAAAACAGTCAATCCAGTTTGGTTGGTCCATGATATGGGTCCAATAGTAGTGTAGTTGGATGGGGCTTGACAAGAGTTTTCCAACGATATATTATAAGCCTAATTCCGATGAATATTGAGGAAGTTATGGCAAAATTACTGAACTGGGCTCAGTTTGAGCCTTATATGCGGCCCAATGATCTAGGGGAGGGCCTAATATGATTTATCATTCCTAATGCAATTAGGAATGGTTTTAGTCTTCTAGATTCTTCTAGAAGGTTCTTTTCATTCCTAATTCAATTAGCATTGATAAATTGACCTTTTGTTGACTTTTCAGAGTTTTAATCAAAATCAAATAGCATTTTCGAGGAAATTATATGATTTTATCCTCCAGTACGACAAACTTATCTGATTTTTGAAAACGCGTTAAAACCAGGCTTGGCGCCTGGGACCAGGCCTGGCGCTGGTGTTGGTGCCTAGCGCCAATTAGCCAGGGCTTGCGCCAGCTCTGTTTTTTGTGCGCCAAGACTCTGTTCTGTTATTTTATCTTTTTGGCTGATTTTCTCTATAAATAACGTATTAAAAACTCCGTTTTCATTAACCAATTCTCACGAATTATCATCAAAAATCAGTTTTCATTCATCATCAATTCTCTCTTGATTCTTTCTTAGCTTTTTCATATAAAATTCCGCATTTACAAGATCTTGAAACACCTAGTCATATTCGAAGTTGCCTTCGCCCTAGACGTGAAAGGGTTGAATTTCTGAGGGTTTGGTCCCAAATCTCTCTTTCAATTATTTAATTTAATTGTTTGATTATTATTTTCCTTGAAGTTACTAACGTGTGTATTTTGTTATTAGAAAGAGGTACGAGGCATCAAAGTAAGTGTTTTAATGGTTTTTATTGATATTATGATGTAGAAATCATGTTTACATTGTTGTTATGATATTCCTAGTATCATGTCTAGGGTAATTTTAATATTAAATATGATTGTTATGATGCTTCCTATGTTCTTCCTAATATTTATGATTGTTAGTATCATGTTAGGGCTAAAGTTTTGATTTTTATTGTTTAGTGACATGTTAGGGTTTGTTATTAATCTTGTTAGTATCATGCCTAGGATCTTGCTATTTTTATTATGCTTTAATGTTGATATGATTATTTTAATTATGATTTATGATTTTATGATTATAATTGTTATAATTTATGATGATTATTATTATTATTATTATTATTATTATTATTATTATTATTATTATTATGTTGCTTGATATTTATTATTTATTGCTTGATCACACCTTTTTATGCATGTTTAAAGGGAATTTATACTTGTAATCGCGCTTAATAAGATATTAATAATCTTGTTTAGGGTTAATTGTGATTATAATTCAAGTGATCGCCAATAATAGTTTTATTTGTGCATTAATATTCAACCAACATAGATTAAACAGGTTTAGGGTTAATCTTATTGATTGCATGTTAGTCAAAAAGCGCACATGAATACGATCAGAATAAAGTAGAGGTCTATTATTAGGCTAGGTTCAATCTCTTTTAGGTTGGATTTGTACCTTCATCCCCGAACCCTTATTTGGTTCTAGACCTTATGGAGTTGACGATCTCTTGGATCGTTAAGGGGTGTAACCTTCATCCTATGAACGGTTTACAAGTTCCTAAAACTTGTTGGCAACTCTTTTGCTCTATCTTCTTCCCTTTTGGACGCCACCGTACTTTAGTGTATGATCACAGTGGGGTTCAAGCTAGTGGGATTAAAGCTTGAAATATTCCCTACAGCTGGCTGAACCTCACTCAATGTATTAACAGGTTGCTTCTTAATACCCTTCCTGAAGGTTGTGCTTCTAGGAATTCTTCTATTAATACAGAGGATGAAGTTGGCTTTTTAGCATTAAGGTCAATCTCAGTTGGTTGGGAAGCAGAATCGTTTTGCTGAATTGTTTCAATGAGGGAGAATCTAGGGCTTCTCCTAAAGGGTAAGGATTTAAATGATGTGTTAGGAGAGATAAGAGAAGGGGGTAATTTTTCTCCAGCCCCTACCTTACATGGTGCCTACCCCTTACTTGACTGCCCCTTACTAGACTTCCCCTTACTTGATTGCCCCTTACTAGACTTCCCCTTTTTCCCTTTAGAGTTATATATCTTCTCTAAAGACTTTTCAAAGGCTTTCCTACCTTTAGTGTACTCCTCACTAGTTTTCTTAGCACTCTGATCCTCAAATTCTGCTTGTAGTTCTGGCCAAGTATAATCATTGCCAATGTAAGGATCATCTTCCTCTGTTGATAGGTCATCAAGTGAAATGGATTTAGGATTGCTATTCCTCCTAGGTGCTAGTTCATAAACTACAGATTCTGGTACAGAAGGTGGTAGTTGATGTTGATTATTAGGTGATGATGGAGGTGGTGGTGGGGGAGGAAGATGAGGAGGAGGAGCTAGGTGACCACCTGCAGCAGCTTGTTTGTTCCTGAACTCAATTACTAACTCATTGATAAAATCTGGTTCCTTAGTAGTGCCAACCAAGATGCATATTATGGGGTCTTTAGGGAAAGTTCTAAACAACCTAATTAAGCAATCATCTCTAATAGGCCAATGTTTCTTTCTATAGGCATAATTAAAGGATGGGTTCACAATATCTACTGGAGAATCCAAACTACGTAATCGATCTTCAAATTCAATACACAAATCCATTATGTTACACATATCAACATCTACTTCAATGTCAACATCATGACCCTTACTGAAATCTCAACACTTTTTTTTTTTATCATAACTCATTCTGCAAAATCACAAAAAAAAACCTAAAATCTTTCAACATGCACCAAAATTCAAACAAAAGTAGCAACATGCAGTTAACTAAAATATCTAACACATCCACAATACCTCCAGCAACAGTCAAGCATTGTAATTCCAACAAAATACTCATCACTTATACCAAAATTATACCAAAATGCAACCAAATCGCATAATCCATACCACAATTCAACCAATTCGCATAATTATACCAAAATTAAACAAACATCGCATGATCCTACCTAAAATTAACCCAAATCGCATAATTCATGCACATAATTACACTAAACATTGCAAGATAATCAAAATTGTTGAACATAATTCGCATAATCATGAAATTCACATATATTTCCCAAATATGTAAAACAATTACTCAACATATACACTCGAAACAGAACAACATACAACCTTTTTGCGTTTATTTAACAGTGGAAGTGATACATACCTGATGATCCACACTTATCCCCCTTTTCTCCGCTAGTAATTGAAAGATTTCTTGCGCAAAACACCCTGACTTTCTTGTTCTTCAATTCAGACGCAAGAGAGATGATTGAAACAGAGGTGAATGCAGAAGATGGGAAGTCCAATCAACATAAATACCAGGGGAAGGGATTAATTATGGCAGGAGGATATATGAGTGTTTTTAAAAAAAGGGGTATTTTAGACATTTTATGCATTTAATGACCTAAATCTGTATAATTAGAATGTTATTTAACGTTTCATTAACAACCTAATCACACTAGTTAATAAGTCGGAACCTTGGGTGTACCGTTGATAATAAAAAACATAGTAATGGTACCATTGAAAAAAGTCAAAAGGTAGGGTGTATCATTGATAATTTCCCAAAAAAAAAAAAAAAAAAAATGACATCATTTTTGCATTTAGGCGGAAATTTTTTTTATTGAAAAAGGGACACGTGGACAATAGTAATGTCAGCAATAGTAGATATGCAACTTTCAGGATTCAGTCCTTTAATAGACACTCATTTACTCCAAAATTTCCAAATTACTCGGTCCATTTTTGTATCAACTTTTTCCTTTTTTCTGACATTTAACTATCTACTCTTTTAGATTGTGAGAAAATATAAGCAAAAAGCAACCAAGCAAGTTATTTGGAACAGAAGGAGTAAAGTTTATGTAAGCTTGTCATATCAGAGATCCATATATACTATGTTTGCCAGTAATTGCTAGAAACTGATTTTGGCATAGTTTCGACTTGTCTCATCAAGGAATGCAGTGAAAATTTAAGTCAAGGTTGCTGGAAATTGATTTCGGTGCAGTTTTAGCCTATTCCCATATCAAGTAATGCAATGAATAAAATTATGTCAAGGTACAAGTGCATTCTTATACATAGTTGATGGAAGAAAACAAGAATAGACTGGTTTCGGCATGTCAGAATCAGACTGTCAAGAGTATCTAAATTCCAACATAAGCAAAAGCATAAATATTGAATCTCCATACATTTTGCAAATACCATGAATCTTCAGACCAACAATGGACCAGGAATTTAAGATATGCCATTCTCATTCATATTCCCAAAACAGTCCTCCAATAACCGCGTTAGTAAAAAAAATTAGAGATGAATCTATCCTTCTCACAGAAAATAGGGGGAATATAATACTTCAGTCAGACATCTATTGTCGACAGGAAAGCTGGTTTACATGAATATAAATATATACATACTAAGTCAGCATAGTTACGGCGGTCATTCAGTTGAGACAAATTTACATAGGAAGTCATGGGAAGTAGAAAACTGGGAGATGTTTGGTTGACAAAAATACAGGAAGTTCAATTTTCCACATAGGAAAGTTACTGCTAAGTCTTCCCGGGTAAATGGAGCTTCCTGTAATCATCCAAACAATATTCCATACTTCCTAGGAATTATAAATTCCGGGACAGCGTGACTTCCTATGTCCAACCAAATGACCGCATACACAGTTACACGAAGAAGAGAGTAACGAGGGCAATCAGCTGCCAGTTCATATTTCAGGTGACTCATTCGCCTTGACAAATCGACCCTTCACTCGTTGTCGATTATCAGCTCTAGCCTTCCTTGATTCGTATCGAATGTGTTTGTCATATCTGTTCATGAGATTTAGCCAGTATAAGCATTGAATGATAAGTGTGAAATATAAAAGGAATATATAATCAGAATTTATGATATTTAATTGCCTTCGCGATTTCTTCTTTTCCTTGTAGCGTAGCATAGCTTTCCCTCGATTCTCTGCAAGCTGTTCCACATCAGCTGTATTCATCGGTTTCCTCCAGTAAGGCCACTCCATGAACTGCATATTGTGCTCCCCATCAATCATCTCAGGTTTAATTACTTTAGCATCAGAAGATGCTCCAACAACTGGTACACTGCAGTTATCTACTGTTAAGTAAACTTCACTGTCCATCATCTGATTTGTGCCATCCTGCAGAGTTTTGATCAAAACAAATCTATTAATCAACTATTGCCAACTCTTACAATGTGATAGTCATGATACAAGGAATTCATACAACAGAGCAATTAGACTCGAATTATGCACCCCGCCCCACCTGAGGTCCAGAATTATGATTCATGACCTAGCTTCCAACATAGATCTATATATGCCAAACCTTGTTGAAGATCACATTTCTGACTTCTGAGGTCGCCCACCAATAATTCAGGTACCATGTTGCTAACAACTCAATCAAACATTAAAGCTCTAACTAAAATTACAGTTTGCTGTTACTTAACGCAACTGTCCACTCTTAAAATTAAAAATTGGAGGCAAGAAGTGCAGAAGAGAAACGTATTTACATAAAGTAGGTGACAGGAAGTGAAGAAGAGAGAAACAATTTAACATACTTTCAGCACAAGAAAATTTCTGTAAACACCAAATTTTAGTTTACAGCCTGTGTAAAAAAGTAAGATCCACACTTAATTTGAATAGTTTCAATATAGTACTGGTGTATTTAGATTCACTTACATCTCTTGATTGAGAGCCTTTAAGATTTCTTGAGCTTTGCATCTCTGCCATCTCCGACACATCTTCTGGTACTCCAGTTGACTGAGAACCTTCGAGATTTCTTGAGCATTGCATTTCAGACATATCTTCTGGTACCCCAGTTGACGTGCATGAAGGTTCTTCAAAATCCATTGGTCCTCCCCATTGACCATCCCAGTCCTTAGCCACATTCAAATATAAAGAGAAGCATTAGCAAGAGTATTCATTATTTGGAAGTCAGTTATGGATCACACAACATAAGATTGAAAGATCAAATGTTTAATACACTTTTTAAGTACATTATCTACTATTCTACTCTCAACTTGCTACATAAGACATAAGGAGTAAAACTCTTAACTCGCTACATAAGACATAAATGTAAAACTCTCAACTCGCTACATAGACATAAGGAGTAAAAGGTACTGCAGCCAAGAAATTAATGACAAGCTCGGAGTTAATGGATACACACAACTACGCAAGCATCCAGCAAGCAGCAAATTTAATTAAATAAAATTAGGAAAACAAGGGCCACTTTGTCGTTGAGAGTTTTCTTTCAATAAAAAAGTTATCGAGTAGAAAAGAAGTTTTTGAAAAATAATACTACTTGCTATATTCTGTTGTAAATTTCAAATATAACACGATCAGTTTAAATATGAGTAATCTAAGTCCGATTACAAGTTTACAACCTATATCTTTAAAAAGCTTAAAACAGAAAACAGAAAACTGAAATTGGTTGGAACATAAAGCAAAATCTAATATCAAACATGTTATAAGAGACTAGATCAAAGACCCAACTCATGTCAACACTCTCTAAATCTTACACAGCATCTAGTCATCTTCTACTCATCACTTTCTTAAGCTTACTTCTACTGCATATTCACTTCCTAAATAAGCATTTTATAGCACAAGGGCAGCGATATAGGAGTGCAAGAGCAAAAACAGCAAATAATTCCATAGTCATCAATAACCAACATATCTCACTTCATTGCAAATAAAATCTTCAATTCACCTAATATATTGTTACCCTTAAACTCATACCGCCAGGGGCTAGTAGGCAATTTTAAGTTTCATTTTTAACAAATTCCGAATTTAGTCCTTCAAATTCTTACATCAATTACAAAACACCCAATTTCCATGAAGAGTGCTTTGGACAACCATTTAGACATGACAAATAACATTTTACAACTCTAAATGCTATTTATCAGTTCTTTAGTCCTCCATTGAAGCAATGAAGAACAGCCAGGTTGGCCCCGCCGTAAAGCACAAACTCTTTTAGTCTCTTAGATATTAATTATGCGTACAACCTTAATTAACAACAACCAACCACCACCAACCAACCCCCCTTAAGACTTTAGACTTACATAGTTACAGTAACCAAAGATGGTATTACTTTTTTTTTTTTTTTTTTTTTAAATTCCTTGGTTTACTTTAACTAATACTACCATTTCATATTATTTGTAACAATTTGACATAAATAAAATAAAGAGGTAAAATATCTTATCGATGTAAATAATATGAAATAGAGGTAGTATGTAAAGATGGTATTACTAGTTACTATATAGCCGCCATAAACACAAATCTTGCATACAACCTTAATTCAACAACCACTGCCCTCGGATTTTATTTAGGAAGAACAAAAAGGAACGGTGAGAATATTAAGCTAACACTATTAAGCATCAGTTTAAACTATACGAATTAAAAATATCTTCTTGATATGACTAACAAAGTTATAAACCACTCAGAATCAACAACAATAACACCAAAAAGTATACCATTTAATATAAAAATAACAACCAGGATAATATCTAACAAATCAAAACAATCATAATAATAATAATCACAACTTGAACAGACTTTTAAGCAAAAGACATCATCAACCAAATTGTCCAAATATAATAATAACATAACAAAAAATTAAAAATAAAAAATAAAAAAAAGCAGTAATTTAAATAAAATAATAAATTTAAATATTACATAAAATTAAATAAAATTTAAACCTGAGGAGGTTGATAATCAGGCTCAAAATCCCACAAAAAATCTCTATCTTCAGCAAAAGTTCGTTCACCTTCTTTCATCAACAAAGAAGTAAAGGGCATATTATGCATTAACATATCCGACCCATCACCCGTTTCTAGGCTCGGAGTATCCGGACCAAACTCCGAACTATTATTTTCTCTTTCCTCCAAATCCCACTTACTCAAAGTCATCAATTGTTTAACAACGGCATCCTTTTCTTCATCGCCCAGACAAGGAACAACTAAATCGCTAATACCCCAAATGGGTGCAAGCTCAATAGCTGTTGGAAGTCCATCAATGGCGGATTTTGGTTCGGAATTCGGGTCGGGTGTTCCGAACCCGGGTATTCTGAGATGTTTAAGGGAAAGGGAATTTGCGGAGTGGATTTCTCTGTCGCAAAGTAAGCAGAGATTGGCGGAATCTGCTTCGCAGAATAAAACGGCGGCGTTTTTGCTGCAATAATCGCATTCTTCTAGCTTCATAGTTGTATTTTTTTTAAGAGAGAGAACGTTGAGTTGTGATTTTTTTTTTTAGAGAGAGAAGGGGAAAATTTTGAAGAATGGAAATGAAAGAAGGGCACATGATAAGCATGGGCCAGTTTCAGGAGACGTGACATTTGGGGAAAAAAATCAATAAATTAAATAATTGAAAATGATTTTTTGGATATTTAAATTTAAGAAAATTAAGAAAAGTTTGGTTTTGTAGGGCCTAATTTCTTAAATTATTTGCACTTTTTTGCCAACCTGGCATGTGAAAAGTGGCATAAATATCTGTTAATTTCTGAGTATACGTGGTTGACTGTGAAATTATTCATTTAAGATTATTTTTGTTGTTTTTTAGTGTATTTTAGTTTTTAGTGGGAAAGAAAGTTGATAAGTCATGAGGTCGCAATCCAATAATATCATAAAAATCTGTGTTTTAAATGGAAAATATCTCTTTGTGTTAGTGTGTGTCTTTGTTTCTTAGGTCTCCAAATGGCTTGGGTTCTTGCAAGTGTTAGGCTCAATTACTCAATTAGTTGGGTTGGGTGAAATAGTTGAAACTTTGTAAGCCAACCTTTGGAATAGATGAGCTATCAAGATAGAAGAGACCGTAGATGCATGGTTAAGTTTACAAGGATGTCCTAATTTGCCCCTTATGATTGTCAATGTGAAATTTTGATTCATAATATCTTTAGTTAGTTGTTAAAAACGAAAAGTATAAGTTTTAGAAATTTGTTATTCAAAAAATATACAATAAAATGATATGACTCTTATGTATAAAGCACAAATTGAGATCAAAATAGTATATACAATTAGTGTAAAAGTCAAGATGAATCATCATCTGAAAATAGAGAGAAGCAATATTTAACCTCAAATTTACGAACCATGAACATGCGTGAGATGCGTCCCTTCTTTATGTAGTCATTCGATTATGCGGTGGTATTAGGTTGCAAATAAATAAAAACTCACACTATTTTATTGGTTATCTCTCCTCCCTTACTGCCAACGAGTTATGGAGGCTAGGTGGGGGAAGGAAGGGGGTCATTTTGGGGGAAGGGAATAAGGATTATATAGGGTTAGCCTTCCCATCCCCATCCCCACCTAATATTTTCATCCTCATCCCCGCCCCACTCTCCACTTGGATATCCATCTCCACCTAATCCCCACCAAAGACCCTCCTAATCCCCACCCAAGATCCACCTAATCTTCGTCTCTCAAATACACAATCCTCCATGATTAATACTCCGTACGAATTATAATAATAAAACATTCTTAATATTATACACATTTTTGTTTATAATATAAGTGTAGTACAAAGTATTATAATCAATATTTTATTTCACGTAATTATTTTATAAAATAATATAAAAGTATATAATTTTGCTTTTAAAAATATATAGACGTGGTATGAGGTGGGGATAGGGCGGGGCGGGGATGGGGACTTAAAATCCGTCCCCGCCCCATCACCCATGGCGGGTATGGTTTTTATCCCCATCCCCGCCCCACCACCCGCCTAACCGAGACCCATCCCCACCCCACTGGGGCGAGTCTCCTACTTGACCCGCCCAACTTACATCCCTAGAAGGAAAGGGTTGTCTCCAGCGTTTTGGGGCTGAGGAGGCGGTAGGGTGGGGAGGCCACTAGTGTAGGTGGTGGCTAATTGTAATACTTTGTATTTTTATAAAATTATATATACTAATTATTTTATTTCATTTATAAATTAAAATGATCCATTTCATTTTAAAGGAATGAATTGATTAAATTAAAATAATTGCGTATAAAATAATATGAATCATTAATTGGGGCAATAAAGTGTTTTAAATTGGTTCAACATCAATAAAACTATTAGACTAAATTGTTAGGAAACAAAAAGTTTTTAAGGGCTCATTTTAGGCCCTGTTCACATCACCTTAAAAAATTAATATTAAGTAAAAATAATTCTAGTTTAGTAAAAATAAGTTTAGTTCAATAAAAATAATTCCAGTTCAGTAAAATTCAGTTTCTTAAAGAATAATTCTAATAGTAAATCAGTAAAAAATAATTCCAGTTCAACAAAAATAATTTCAGTTCAGTAAAAAATAATTTAAGTTAGGAAAATATTATTTAAGTTCAGCAAATATAATTTTGGTTTAGTAAAAATAATTTCAGTTCAGCAAAAATAAGGTAATGTGAACGAGGTCTTAGCCTCAAAGGAAAATTCAAGGAGATATAAAATTAAAAATGGCAGTTTTGTAAATAAATATTTTTGTTTTTAAAAGGGGATATAAATACCCAAAAACTCAAGGATTTCATATTAAAGAATCAAATTGTCCAATTTTACAAGACTCAAAACTTTTCCTCTTGTTTTTCTCTCCTTTTTCCTCTTTTTTTCTCCTTCCTTTTTCCCACGCCTCTTTCTTCTCTTCCCAAGTGCCATCGGCGCCGCCACTAACCAAAGGAAAATTTAAGGAGGAATAAGATTAGTAATGAAATTTTTGTAAATAAGTGTGTTTTTTGTAAAAGTGTGATATAAATACCTAAAAACTCAGGGATTTCACACTCAAGAATCAAATTGTCAGATTTTACAAAACCCCAAACTTTTCCTCTTGTTTTTCTACTTTTTTGCTCTATTTTTTTTCTCCTCCCTTTTTCCCACGCCTCTCTTCTCTTCTCTTCCATGTGTCACCAGCGCCACCACCAACTACCACCGACTAGCGGCAGCACCGACAGCCTAGCCGTACACCACCTTTCTTTCCTCTTCCCTTGCAGTTTCAATATTAAGAAAACAAAAAACTATTTGTCCTAATTTAATTTCTAACCTTGTTTTGATAAATTCAAAGCATGATTTTAATTATATTTTGGTGTTGTTTTTTGGTAATTAATTTTGTTGTTTATTCCTATAATTTGATTAAAAACACAAATTTACAAACCCTATTATTTGGGAATTTAATGTTTATGATAGGGTTTGATTCTAGGTTGTTGTGGTTGTTAAATTAATTATTAAAACATATTTTTAAAGAGTTTTAAGCCCTCAATTAATGCTGGAATTTAATTACAGACTACTTTTTAATTATTATGTTAGGGGTTTGATTACCCATATGAGGAAAAAGGTTCTTGATGATTTAGATATGATTTCGTAGTTGATTAGTGATGTTTTATATTAAATAAGTATGGGCCAATTTTAGGGAATTTTGTGTAGAATCACCCTAAAGATAGGGTGTTTTGTGAACAACTACTTGTTTTTTAAAATTTTGTTTAGAACTACCCGTAAGATGGCAAAATCTTGTCTAGCGTTACTCGTAAACGGTTTTCGTCCAATTGAGTCGTTTGTAGGGTCCATTCCTATAAATTTTCCACTCAATTCTCTCCTCTTTCATTTATTTTCCCTTCAACCTCATCCATAAAACCAAGAGAAAAAATAATTGGAGCAATTCAACATAATTTCTTACTTAATTAGGTAATGTTTTAAGCTATTGTTTTAATTCTTGGTTTGTTTAATTGGTTTAGGATTTTTAATTTTAAATTTAATTTGTTGGGTTTCAATGAGTCCAACTCACCGCGGAACAAACCCGACCCCATGACCCGCTCACAATTAATATATCTAATTTAAAACGACATAAATAACAAGCTAGAAAGAGAGAAAAGACGATCTTAGCCTTGCCGTGTGCTTGACTCTTACTTCGACGCCAAGTCCCGCAAACGCAGAGACCTCCTACAGTATCCATCCGCAACTCGACCCCGACCTGTCTCTTAGTTGGAGTTTAGCCAAGTCGAACTAAACACTACTCGAGTATTATATGAACTTAAAGGTTTTTTCTCAAGTGGAGATGCCTTATTAAGTTCCTACTCAAGCAACTTTCTCCAATTCCAAGGTGGGTATTTATAGAGAATGTCATGAGAGAATTCCACTCTCCTATCAATGTGGAAGAGTTAGAGAAATCAATATTCCCTTTTTATTTTTAAATCAAAAATAAAAGAAAATAGCAAGAAATTAATTAATCAACAAGTGACATTCTAAGAGGAGAGGTAAGGTAAGGACCACAAGGGGAGGGGGTCTAAAAACTTGATCCCCAAGGCTCCCAAAAACCGCCCTTCACATCTCCCGGCTCCAATGAATGGCTGCCATATGGTAGCCCATGCCTTGGCACCCAAGCAGCCTTTATGGCACTTGTCGTGCGGCTAAGCCTGCTACTGGACGCACACATATATATGCGGCAGTGCTCCTGGCCGAGGGCACTATGCATCACACTACTAGCAGAGTTAGCACGCTAGCGCGCTACTAGCTATCTAGCACTGCTAGCTTGATGTTGCTGCTGAAGGAGTTATGTTTTCGTCGTGTGCAATTAATAAATATATAAATGGATCAAATTATGGAGATAATTAAGTTCGTACATTTAGGTCGTCGTTTTGCCATAGCTAGAGGTACTAACGATCTTTGGACTAGTAAAATAGCCCAAAGCCCGATTGGACGGATCCTATAAGGTCACACAAAGGGCCTAGATCGAGCACAAGAAGACGAGGCCCATCATGGGCCTCATCGCGTATAGTGTCCGGCCATGTGGAGTGGATAAGAGAGTTTTGGGCTTCATGCCCTAGTCTAATTATAATAGGATTATAAATAGTCTAGGTGCCTAGGGTTTTCTAGTAAGCAATTAACTGATCAGTGTGATCAAACCCTAATTAGCAAACACGAGACCTAGCCCTCAGAAACTCTCCTCTCCTCTCCTCTCTCTCACGACTCTCTCCTTCCCAGCGCCTCCTGTGGTGGTTCGTGGTGGTGGTGATTCGTGGTGGTCTGTCCTTATCCCGAAAAGGTAGTGATCGAGTTTTCCTCAATCGCTCGACTAATCTAGTATTGGTGGATGGCTCGTTCGAATCTCATGGACTAAGTAGAGGAGCAACGCTTGGGGCTCTATTCTCTCCCTGATTTGCTTGTCGAATAGCTTCGTGGAATTCACGCGTCAAGGTATGATTATGTGTCTTGTGTGTTATGCATGGCGATTCTTGGTTTAGGATCTTTATGAATATGATTCATGTTATTTCCGCTGCGTAGTACCTATAAACTCCTACAGTGGTATCAGTTAGTCTCTTGCATGAACGCGCTAGATCATAATAATACGATTATTTGATGTCCATGTTAAT